ATAAAGAATTTCTTCGATCTGCGGTCTGAGGCGATGAATCTCGTCAATAAAAAGCACGTCGCCTTCTTCCAGATTCGTCAAGATCGCCGCCAGATCGCCCGACTTTTCGACTGCCGGAGCGTGAACCGTTTTCAAATTTGCACCGAGTTCATTGGCGACGATCACCGCCAGACTCGTTTTTCCTAATCCCGGCGGACCGAAAAGCAAAACGTGATCTAACGCTTCGCCGCGACGCAAAGCCGCCTTCAAAAAAATCCGTAAATTATTGATGATTTTTGCTTGTCCGATATATTCGTCAAGCGATTTCGGACGCAAACTCTGTTCGGCATTTACGTCTTCAAGCGTTGCCTGTCCGATCGTTAAAGCATTGCTTCTGACAGAACTTTCGACTAATTCTAAACCCATTGATTACCTCGTTTATTGATGAAAAAGAAACAACTGAAATCAGTCAGTTTCAGTTATCAGTTGTTCAGAAAATAATTCTTTGGTTAAATTTTTAAGCCGCGATTTTCAATCTCGGCACTTCAGTTTCTTCAACTTTCGTTTCCGCTTTTCTCGCGTCAACCGCCATCGGTTTGGCGTTTTCGACGAGCGGTTTGCTGAGTTTACCGACGATCCAGCGGCGGTAAACTTCGGCTTCTTCCAGTTTTCCCGTCCAACGTGCGCGGTCGAGCATTGTCAACCCCATTTCGAGCGCGTGATGCTGTCCGGCGCGGTCTTGGTTTTTGTCGAAATAGCGGTAAGCCGTTTCGAGCGTTTCAACTCCGCGTTTTGCCGTTTCGACATTTTTGAAGCCGAGCTTTCCGCGAAAATGTTTGGAATAAACATTCATCGGATAACCCGTCGAGGTATAAAGATCGAAATAATTATCGATCAAACCTTCTTTCTGCAAGACCGAACCGACGTAGCTCGGCTTTGCTCCCGAAACCGCCGCAATTGCTTCGATTTCCGTCGTGCCGTTTTTGAAAAGCGACAAAATCATATCTTTTTTGCTTTGTATTTCTGTTTGTTCGTTCATTTCAAATAATGTTTCGGTCATAATTTTTTCCTTCCTCTTTCTTGTTTGATTAGATGTTGCATCTGTGAAACAAGTTGTCTAAATCATAGCATTTTCGTTTCATAAAAACAATCGAAAAATACGATTTTATTCAGTATTTATCGGGATTTTACGAAAAATCATTGTAAAGTGGATAACCGTTTCATATACTTAAAATATAGGACAAAAGGTAAAGTAAAATGACAAAAAATACACCGATTTTTGACAAACACAAGGCAAAAGAGAACATTGAAAAAGGGAAGCGGGCGAAATGGATTCAGCGGAAAGGCGGAAAATCGAAAGGTTTTCATTACATAGATAAAAACGGCAAAAATATCACGGATG